TATATATATATATATTGCAAGTGTCCTGATCTTTCCTTACAGTAATTTTATCTCTACATTTGCTTTGAATATGAGGAACTTTGAATTGTTCTAACCTTGCATTTGATATATCTCTTGTTTAAACGTAATGATTCGAATCTGTGCAACTTCCGAGATTCTGACCTTTCTACCTTGTTATGGTTATAACTTCATGTATTGACCTCTGATTTGGACAAAACCTATTTGATCAGAATATAGACTCATAAACCTTTCTTTTGATAGCTTATTTTAAGAATTCGGAGTAAGTTTGACCGGCCAAACTTCTGTTTCAAATGAGCCTAAAGATTCTACAAAATAGTAATTTTATTTTTTGACCTTTGGTTACTAAATCAATGGTAACTCCTTGTTGGAGACCTTGATTCGTACGAAACTTATTTCATCAGAAACTATATTGAAATATCTTTCTAATGATATATTTTCTGAGTAAAATTGGAGTACGATTGATAGTTTGAATCATTTATTCAATGTGCCTCTTGAATTCTGCTAGAAATCGAGCTTTGGTCGATTTCGCATATTCTGGTTTTATTCCTTTGGAAATTGATTTCATCTAACCTTCTTATTTGACTTGAGCTATATGTGATTGCTTGGAATCCTTGTACACTCTTGCTTTTATTTCCTTTCAAATCTGAATACATTTGTGAAGGATTATGTTTGCATCGTATTGACTCATAAAAGCACATGTACATTTCGTTGTTCTGCATGTGTTTCCGTTATGTCCCAATTTATTGTTCACAATACCCTTTTGTACTATGATGTTTATATATATATATTTAATCAAATTAAAAAAATAAGGAGAAAAAAATAGAAAGAGGAGGATAAGGTTCACAGCCAACTTGGAAGGCAAAGAAGGCTTCGAATTCTATTCCCACTCCTCAAGGTGGATTCCTTACCTCTGGATTCTCCAACCGTCCGATCACATCAGAATGCGAACGTTGGACGGCAGATGATGGGTGAGACTCCCCCGGGCACACAGGTTCCAAGATCCAACGCTCGCTCTTTCTGCTTTAGGATTCGTGTGGGGAACGGTTTCTTTTAGCACTTCGCCCCCCAGTGAAAGAAGTATTGCAACGCTGGTCCATCACGCCACGCCTGATTAATCGAGGCGGGTGGGAGCAGGCCGTCGTTGAGGTGGTGACTTCTAGTGGTCGGGGGCGGAGAGCGATCGGAGTTCTTCTTCTTCTTCTTCTTCTTCTTCGTTCTTGATTGTGGTGTGATCATGGGGAGGGGGAAGTTTAAGGTGAAGCCGACGGGCCGCAGGAACTTCTCCACTCCCGAGGAGTTGGGTACGACCATCACTCGATCATCTTCCCTACTCTTCGTCCCTTGACATGCAGCGTTTCTTTGATACTCTTTTGTTTCTAGGTTTTGCGGTGGATCTTTACTTCTTGGATGTTGATTGTAAATTTTCCCACTATGTTATATCTTATCATGTTTTTGGCTCGAGATCATGAAATATCCAGGTGGGCGTTCACCTTGTTATAGCTAGTCATTGATGAAGATGAGGGAGATTGTGGCTTATGATTGGATACCGATGAAGTTATTTACTTTGATCTTTCTTGTTAAAGTAGTACTTGCCATTTTATGTATTCTTCTTCAATTGCCATATTATTGATATGGCCAATGTGGGAACAGTATAATGATTGTGATCTCCTATTGCTTTTATGTCCGATCTCCTGCTTCTAGCCTGCAAAAATTTTCGACTTCCCTGTAATAGTCAGGTTGGTCCTACACTACTATTGTTAATTTAGGAGCATATGTGTTCCCAGTGTGTTTAGGTGGTTAATAGGAGCATATATCTTTAATTATATATATGTATAGGTTGGAGATGTAGTCGAACTTGAGTGTTTATGCTTACTCTTTTCTTATTTATTATAAATGCTACAAGCTCTTCTGATTTGTCTCTGATTTTAAAATGATAGCAGATGCAGGCACCTCAGCTTGTTCTCGCACCATCAGACAGGTTAGCCTCATGACCAATAGTCCTATTGGTCATATTCCTTTGGAATTTGCAATATTACAAGTTTTAATTTTCAAAGACAATGTTGTACTTGGTGCATCTTAGTCATTCTTTGCATAACATATGGACAGGTGTTAAAGGAATAACTAGGTTGTTGATGGGCCTTTCATGCTTATGAATGGCGTGAATAATGCTTTCACCATCATGTTATTTATGCTTTTTTGTTGTTCAAAATATTGATTCCACGCAAACATGTTATGCAATTGCCTCTTTGTAACCCATCCCTTCTTTTCTCATATGATTCTATCCCCAGTCAGGCAAATTGAATCAGTGACTTCTCTGCCCCCAAGCTATTCATGTCCTTTGTACTTCTGTGGTCCTTTCTTTAACTGAACCTTTTGTCTAATTTCCAGTGCTTGGATTTGGAAGAATATTCAGACAGTTCCCATGATTCTGCTATTGTTTCTCAATATTGTATTTTGATGTAAGATATTTTGTCCGTTCCATTGCTATGTTTATTATAAAACATGATGATCGATATGCTGGCAGACAATTTTTTAGTATTACAGTCTAGGATGAGATGGTTTATGCGGATCTTGAAATGATATTTGGCATTAAGTTATGGTGAGAAAGTGCCATTTTATTGGCTTTATTATTGGTGCTATTAGTCTTTGGTAAAGGAAAGAAAGAAAGGTATAATAAATTTTGCTCTTAATTAGAGAACTAGATAATAGGCATTGTTAAGGCAAGATAAATTAGTTCAGATTGGTGGTGCTGAGAGAGATGCACTTCGAAGAACATATTTTTTTTAAATTTATGTACAATCTTAAAGATGTCGGTGGAGTCACATGAATGAATACTGATTAAGAGTTTAATATTGAAGGCTAAGATGCTACAATTAGGAGATTATGGAAATCCATGACTGTGTACTGTGGGTTAGTAAGATTTGCAGTACTAGTTCATCGAAAATGATGGAGATGGTCTGCACTATTTACATTTGATCTCAAATTCTCAAGTAGTTTTCTAATCGAAATTTAGCCTCTATTATTTTACTATTTGAAGTGTGCTTAGCTGCTCGAAACAGCAACATATAAAACAGTAACTTCTGCTCAGTGGTACTCATTTATTCTGAAGACTGTTTTTTGGCCTCCATTATGTGTTTTGCTTGCTTTGTCCTTAGAATTACAAACTTATTTCCTTTTAACTTCAATAGGATCAAACTGAATACAATAAAAAAGAAGGATCTGAGGAGGGAAGTGGAGAAGATTCTGGAGAAGAGGTTGGGGTGAAAAATCTCCTTTAATCATGTGTTATTGCCGATGTTTTTTCTTTTGCCTAATGGGTTGTGAAATATTTTTGATGTTGATGAATCATCATATTCTTGACAGAGAAGGAAGGGCACAATTTCCTTGATTGAGATCCAAAATCCAAACTTTGTTAAGCCAAGAACTACAAAAGCTAAAGACGCTAATGTGAGTTGAAATGTTCCTTTTACTTTTCATTTCTTGTAGAATCCTTCACTGGTAACTGAATGTTCTTAGACACTTTATGTTCACTGATCTTCCACGTGCTAAATTCTGACTGAAGCTCTATATAGATTATCACCACTTTTGTTCTTGTAATGACACTTCTGATTCATTCATTGGCTGCTATCTTTTGAACGTATTCTTGTTTCAAAGTAATTGATAACACATTATTTTTATCTTTATTCTTTTCTTAGTGTCATGCCATCTGCATACTGTCTTTGTCTTGTTCTCTTATAGCATGGTTTCCTTCTGACCAGGGGTTTGAATTCTGCATATAATATTTGTTTCTCATATGGTCATCATTTCAAACAAGATTTTGATACTATTAGGGCATGTGTATACTGCCTAGTATCCATAGATCCGATCAATTACTTCTATTGGAACGTGTAGCTCATTGCTGGAATCATTCTGTTCTTGATTTTTTATTATTTTATTT